TAGAACTTAATAGTGTATCAAAGTGGAAAATCGTCTAGGGCCAGTATCGACCCAGAGCCTTCACTGCTTGAAATTCAAACAGAATCTGCCCTTCTGTTTATTTATTGCGGTACTTAACTTTTGAATACTTATGTATATGTTGCAAGCCAAGTTCCATTGTTAAACACAAAAGTACAAAATATCTGCCCCCCCTCTCTGTGTTTGGTTTGGGGCATTCTGGTTACTTTGACAGCAGAAAAATATTTATGTTTATCCATTTGTTTCTCTTTTATTTATTTAAGTTAACTAAGTCTCCAGGCTTTTATTTTCCATGCTTCCTATACTGCACCTTGACATGCTCATGATAATCAAATCATTTTGTATTTGTGACCTTCATAATATGGGAGATTGTTATTATGATAAATCACACATATACATTGTAAAAAAAAACTCACAACTACCATCCACACAAAAACAACACCTTTGAATTCCATTTTTTAAAATTAAACTGCTTTGGTGTTAATATACTCAAATAATTGTGAAATAAAACCTAATATATGCATGGTTTATAGCCAACATATAAATACTATGCACTGCTACAATGTGTGGACCTGCATCAATTTGAAGTGCACTAACACTGTGAAAGAAAATGGAGTCATTTATCACATGAGCAAAGTGCTTAAGGAGCAATTCGTGGATTTCACTTCCTGCAAAACTGCAACAGCAAGCTCATACAAATATTGCATCAGCTGTCACCCAATCCTTAGAAGAAATCCTACTGCCCTCACTGTGAGAAAGACCCTATCTGAAAGTCTACAATAATATTTGGTCTTGACATTTTGTTTAAGAAATCCATTGTGAGTTGTTTGGTCTCATGTGTGAGGCGGGCACAGTTTGTGTCCTTTGAGCTCATTGTTGTGTGAAGAATAATCTGTGGTCCTTTTTTTTGTTAAGGATTAACAAAGGTATAATTCACCTCACCCAAATGCCCCACAAAGCTAAAAGACCGCAGTGATGCAGTGCTCGAGCTCGTGAGCAGTGAAGGTGCCTCAGAAATGTACAGTGAATGTGTTGCCATGCTGTCTAGGTACAGTTTCATAGACTTATATTATTGCTGCCCGGTGCACTTCAGTATCCAGCAGTAGTAGGGCAGGAGTGAGGGATCTTGCCCATTCAAGGCCGTGGGACATAATCCTCAGCACAACCTGACCCCGCCATTCAAAGATAAATATAAATGTTTGACTGAGCCAGTGTGGCAGGGGAAACACACAGCTGCTGTGTCACTTCAACTGACTTAAGGTCAGAGTACGATGACTTAGTAGAAATAAATATTCATAGCTTGACTTACTGTTTCTGCTACTACGTAATTGGTTACATGAGTTACACGAGACAAGTTTTCAGAGACGTGGAATACTTCCAGACATTAAGGTCATATAATACCAGCTTCCAGGAGAGAGATTGAAAAAAGTAAACTCTCGTGTTTTCTCGCCTAGAGACCACTGGGATTAGCTCCAGCCCCATCATGACCCTCAGAGGAGGAGCAATGTAGATGATGGATGTGTATTTTGGTATTTGTGGTATAATAATTCAAGAGATCCACAGAGCTTTGTTTTTACACTTTCTTGACATGTCTTTCTCGGGCATAATAATAAAAACATGAGACATTTATCAATGTTTACTATCGATGCAAGTACTCAGGTCTCCACAATACTAGTGCATGATCACATAAACAACCCACAAATCAACTCATTCATTCACAAAGCTGGATGGATCGATGGGGCATAGTAACAAATCCAGTTACAGTTAAAAGGTTGGTTCGGTTAGCACTTCAGCACAGAGCTGCCTCCACAGATTCTTTGCAACAACAGGATTTGATGCTAGAATCCCTGCAACTGAGTTTAAGTCAAGATCTAAAGCAAATATAATTAATTTGTTGGCATCAGGAACAAATCAGTTCACTGATATTTCACTGTAAAAGACAAAATAAAGTCATGCAATAAATCTTTTCTACTCCCTCAAGGGGCTGTTCAATGTGACCTGCCTGAACATGTCTTAGTAAATTCCAATTCTTTCTGATGCAAATATTTGAATAACTGGAAACAACGAATGTAAATGTAACATGTTCTATATGTTCATATTCATCTATTAGTCGTCTTACATCTAAAGGTTCTATACATCAGTCACTGATCAATAGAAAATTCAGTGTTAAAAAGTGAAGTAACTCTACTGTATGGTGTAATTAACCATGCATTCATGACATGACATTTGTTCTGATTTACACATCATGTCTGTTCTTCTTGTCATGTTTTTCAACTTTAATATAATTTCAGTGTTGATCCTGAATGATCGATTTAAGAGTGAGTAAGATTTTGTCCCGAGGACATTTTCCCAAAGATGATTCCAGGCTCAGAGATAAAGATTCAAATCATTATGTGAATGAGCAGGAAAAGATGATCGAGGAGCGGCTGCCATTATTGACCTTTGTGATAAAGCAGCCAAGGTGACATGAGGCTTCACGTCATGGGATTCCCACGGACTTCACAAGACTTCATATTGTCCTTGACAAATTTTGTCCCTTAAGTACGTGGAATACATCAGCTCAAGGTTTACACACTCTAATAGAATATTCTAGTGAAGTCCTCCATGTTGGGTTTTCTGTCTTCACACTTTCCAATCTCTGTGTCAACATCCGAAGCATTGCTATCATGTGATAAACTGACTTTATCAATGTGTCACACTGAGAAAAGACAATATTAAAAAAGCAGACACAGAACTTCTGGACACCTTTTAGAATCATTTTTATTTATTAATAGTGGAAGTGGTTTGGTGGTTATTGTTTAATTACTGAATTATGTTGTATTTAATGGTATTAACTGGGTCGTGATAAATCAGCAAAACATCTATCTGTATAAAAATCTTGCACGTCTTCAGATGAAATTGATCATTGCCCTATCCATGACTCTGTCTTTGTATATATGTTCCATAATTGGTCATGTAATGTTGACTGGCTGTTGGTTTTCTAACACTCTCTGGGTTTTTGTGGCATTACCAAACCAACAAATGACACAAAATGTCAAACACTTTTAACAAAAGCACAATAAAACATGGACTTTGAAATGCACCTTAAAATAAATAATTTTCATTCCCCCCTAATTGCTCCTTTATTTCATCTACATTTACAGTTGTGTTGTTTTAATACATCAATGCATGCTTACAGCAAAACCAAAGCTTTCGAGATTCACCATCTCTTTGTGCTTGGGTCACAATGCCAGTGTGTCAAAGTTCCACGTGAGCTGCAAATGGCCACAGAGTCCCAGAGCGAGCATGTTTATTCTGTTATGTCTAACCTCTGGTACCGATCCAAGGTCCACTCTGACATGTGCATTCCTCTGGTAATCTGAAAAGGTCACTCGGATGCTGTCAGAGTAACCTTCTGAACATAATGGTCTTATTGACAATCAACAGTTAAAGCTCTTGTTAAAAGTAAAGTTTTATATTGCAGGACAAAAAACGCATGCTGTTTTTGGTCAGGCTAACACACTATTAACTGCCATTACTATCTGAAAATCATTTCACTACCTTTCACCGCTTTTTGAATTATGGCTCAAGCTTATGTTAACTTGGGCTTCAGGATTCTCCATTTACTCACTTTTTATACAAAGGACACACTGATTATTAAAAAAAATCTGAATTATCATTTATAATGTAAATGCATGATGATTAAAGACTAAAAATTATACTTTAACCTCACCCAAGATCTGCGTTATCAACATGACACAGAAGCAAATAAAAAGTACTAAATAAACCTGAACTCAACAAATGAGCTCAATAAAAAGTAAAACCAGAATCTGCACCAAATTGCAAACACACATAATTATAGTTGCCCTAAACATGTCAGGTTTTTTTTTACATTAAGATCTATTAATAAAAGACAATGTTGAAAAACATCCTATCTCCTAATGTTCCTCCTCAGGTCCTGACCCACTCCACAAAATGTCCTGGAGAGCAGTTGAGCAGTTTTTCTACGTAACAACCTCAAAACAAAAACATAACCTGTTTGGCAGAGGCAACAGTTAAGATATAAAACTGTATTTTCACGTGATGGAAGATCTAACATGGATCATCTTGTATTGTAGATATGGCAAATCTGCGTGTGTGTTGATCAAGGGTGTTTGGGCCCCTGGGCTGTTGCTGAGAACAATGCCAGCAGATCCTGTTTTCAGGCTGCAGTCGAGGCAGTTGTCAGTGCCATTCATCTCAGAGCCATTCCACCTGTCACACCAAAATGAAACTGACCATTTAATTAGGTGCAGGCAGCTGTTGAAGGCCAATGAGAAGACAGTATGGCCTGGGGTCAAGCTCTGAGGTCAGCATTACTTAGGACTGCACCAGATAAAGGAGAAAGATGTACAGCCCACCTACAAGCTCAATAGTAAACCAGCTAATGAATGCTGAACTGGCAACTAGAAAACCATACATTTTTAAAACTAATAGACCATTGAGAAAAAGGCTGTGGGGCTAAAGGATTGATGTGGCCTATAACACCTTAATGTTCGATGGTTTCTATCATCTTTAAGTATGGAAAGTTTCACGGTGTTTAAACTTTTTGGACATCGGTCAATGCAGCTCAGATGAGAGATCAAGCTGTTTCTCTGGTGCTCAGGAGTAAATCATGCATGAACAAAAAAATACAGCAATTGGTGAATCTCTTGTGAGACAATGGAGATGCTTAGATGTAAACTTGTTCATCATTTCAAAGTAGACTTGCAATAGCTTTGTTGTATTCAATGCCTCCCAACACTTTTCTACTGTTACATGTCAAGACATCTTTTGTAAAAAAATAATAAAAAAAACATCAAATAGGTTTAATCTATAGGAGTGTTTGTCTTAAGTGATAACAATTAAAAACAGACAGAAAGAGAAGCTGCAATAAACTATACCACTTCATCATCATGACAACATCAATTATATACAAGAAAATATACAGAGCCACAGACACTTTTAAGGAGTAGTAGTTTATTACAGAGCATAAAGAAACTACCCATTTAGACATGAAGCATAACAGTATGAGCTACTTGTTCCTCTGGAAGTTGAACGCATGTTGGTGGGAGGAGAAAAAAGCAAATAAGGAGTAGAGGAAATAGAAAAAGGCACTCTTAACTTACTGTCGCCAACAGGATGCTCTCGAGTGGTCAAAGGGAACAAAAACACTCACTCTATCCAACATGAGGATGGCCATGTAAACACGGCTGGTTTCTCTGTACTACACCAACCAACTGTTGCCATCCATTTCATGAGGATAGGCCAGAGCAAGAGAATTGTGCCACACATTCAGGGGATTTTAAAGTAACCCACCTAAAAACAACTGTAGTCTAAAAAATAAAATTGGTTTTAAAATCTTCATTAATTGTAGCCAATGACACCTTTTCTCTTGAGGTGGGCCAAAGCTTTTCTGTAGTACACTCTGGGGCCTCAAGCAAAACACTGAAAAATGATCAAGTTAGGAGGAATTCAAGATTCTATTTGTTTAAAGCTGCCTTCTGAAATATCGGCTTCTCTGTATCCACGCCGAGCTTCAGAGAACAAATAAATAGTGATGAGGTTTGATTCCTAGCCAATACGATCAATAAAACACACCCCTTTAAGGATAGAGATGGGAACCAGGTTTCTCTGTAGCTACACCTGCCATCTATATGCATAGAGGGGTACAATGGGCTTTCAGTCAAACCATAAAAAAAAGCTTGTCAAACTACATTTTAAAAAGGGCTCACTTAAAATTGAATTTCAATGCATAAACAATCCAATTTTAACATCATCAAGTATAATCAATACCTCTGCAGACCAGAGCAGTGACATAGCAGCTTCTGACTTTTCTGTATTACGTCAGAAAACAGCCAAGGTCTGTAGGGGCATCTGAGGTTTAAGGCTCATTTATGAGCTTGAATAATTACAATTTGGCGCACCCCTTAGCCTGCAATGCATAGCATTTTTAGTGACAAAAAGCAACAACCCTTAAATTTTAATTGTGCCATTCTAACATCCTCCACAAAGACGAGGGAATAAAGCCAACAAAAAAAGGAAAAAAGAATACTGGGTCAGGGAATTACTGTATTAGACTGACAAAGGAGGAATGTTTAGAAAGAAGCTAAATTTGTTTGGGAAGAGGCCAAATAACAGGACCACCAACTTTCAAATTCTGCCTCTAAATGGACGAAAATGTTATGATGCAGTCATTTCGTAGCACCAGTATATTACATGGGGTGTTGCATATTGCCAAATATGCTCCCGCTGTGACACTGATTAAAAGGCTGACACTATTGACGAGTGTTGAATGCCAAAAGAGCAAATGAACACAGCTATTCAGGGCCTATCACAAGAAGAAGCGGGGGGAACCTCAAGACGTGGGAGAACATCTACAGTACTACAGTGTATGGGTTCATGGAACCCATCCAATAGTTTAACAGATTCTGAGGCATGCCTCATAGGACCCAGCAAGAACTGCAACCAGCAGAAAACAGAAACAAGACAAGGAAGGGAAGTGGAGTGAGAGGAAGGAGTCATGTGTTAAATGATACCATAATTATGAGAGATAAGGGCATTTCTCCCCCTGGAACCTTGGAGGCTTCTCTGTAGTATACGCCAACAAGCCTGGGGGGGAAAAGCTTAACAGTTTTAGCATTTTAGTTTTTTGGGCACCTCCCATGGGAAGGAGTCTCGGCCAAAGTGGCCATACGCTGCGGTCTTCTGATACAAGGGCTTCTTCAGATCCAGCTCCCTGGAATACATAATCAACATATTTAGCAGCAGTCAGTGAGAAAAATCAGATGCACACGTTCATACTCACACAGGCATTACGCTCACATTAGCCAGTGTGTCGAGAGCCACCAAAACAGAAACCAGGTTTACTTGAGCAGCTGGATAAGTGGGAAACATGTGAAGCTTCGACACTTACCCTGCCAACCAAACTGGACACTGTAGCTTGCAGATGGAAACCGCCCTCAATTTGCAGAGAAAATGCTTATTTAACTAGAAGCTAGAAGGCTTCATTAAGTCAGGCAACATTTGCATCTGCCCCAATAAATGAGACTTTTGCCCCAACTAATACCCCCGTGAACAACCTACATTGCTTGTACTTAAGTAGAAAGGAATACGGTTAACTCATAGCTTACAATCAGCAAAGGAAAACGTTGGCTGGGCCGTTTTCATAATAAATCTAATTTACTTAATTTTAATCACCTATCCAAGTAAAACTATATAAAGGAACAAGAGAAAGGAGCGAGCCTGAAGCTGTGGTTTCATTGGGTAGCAGGTGGTGTCAGAGGTTATACATTACCTGACGATGACTCCAGGTCGGAGATCAAAGTTCTTCTTCACAATGTCAAGCAGCTCCCTCTCACTCTTGTTGGATGTCCCATAGTGGAAGATGGAAATGGAGAGGGGATGGGCAACTCCAATTGCATAGGACACCTAATACAGCATATATGTATTATAAATCAAGCATATAAAAGATTTGAAGAATTCAGACAAATCTCTTGCAGCCCAACTCTCTAACATGAAGAACGGTGAACTGTGACCACTAACCTGGACCAAAACTCTTTTGCAGAGCTCAGCCTTCACCAGAGACTTGGCCACCCAGCGTGCAGCATAAGCAGCAGAGCGGTCAACCTTGGTGTAATCCTTCCCAGAGAAAGCCCCACCCCCATGGGCTCCCCAGCCTCCATAAGTGTCAACAATGATTTTGCGTCCAGTAAGGCCAGCATCACCCTGTAATGGAGGAACAGGGGTTAAGCAGGTAAGTAAAAGACTATAAGTGCTTTTTAAGACACTCCCTCTGACAGTTACCTGCGGGCCTCCTATGACAAATCGTCCACTAGGCTGCAGGTGATAGATGGTGTCGTCATCCAAATAGATGCAGGGCACAACAGCTTTGATGACTTTCTCCTTCAGGGCATCTCTCATCTCCTCAAGGCAAATGTCCTCATCGTGCTGCACAGAGACAACAATCGTATGCACACGCACTGGGAGCATGGCCCCACGGTCCTGGCGGTACTGCACAGTAACCTGTGAAGGATGAGAACATTTAAATGAGCAAAGTTCCACTGACAAGATAATTTGCAGCCGTTAAGAGCAAAGTGCGACAGCTCCACCTGTGTCTTTGAGTCTGGCCGGAGCCAGGGAAGAGTGCCATCACGGCGCAGTTCAGCCATCTTAGCGTTCAGCTTGTGGGCAAGGACAATTGTGAGAGGCATACACTCCTCAGTCTCATCAGTGGCATATCCAAACATCAAGCCCTGTAGAGCAAGCATCAAAATACGCAGTGTTTAATGAACAAGATAGTTAACTTAAGAACAAACTCAGCAGATCAAAATGTTTATGTCACCACTGACCTGGTCCCCAGCTCCAATGTCCTCCTCATTGCGGTCAACATAGACACCCTGAGCAATGTCAGGAGACTGCTGCTCCAAAGCCACAAGAACATTGCAGGTCTTAAAGTCAAAGCCTGTGCAAGAGACAGCAGTCAATCAAGACACCAGTCATCAAGATAATAATATGTCTGAGAATTGTAGAAACAAAGCATTCCATACCTTTGGATGAGTCATCATATCCAATTTGGCGGATGGTGTCACGAACAACTTTCTGATAGTCTACGGTGGCACGGGATGTCACCTCACCAGCCAACAGGATCATCCCAGTCTTGGCAACAGTCTCTGCCAGAAGAGGAATAATGTGAGCAAACAAAAGCAAGAGACAAACATCTGACGTGAGCAGACACAGAAAGGACAGACAGAACCAAACTTACCACATGCAACTTTGGCATCAGGATCCTGCTTGAGGTGGGCGTCTAGAACCGCATCGCTGATCTGATCACAGATCTTGTCTGAAAACACAGAACACACCAGCGTCAATAACAGACGTCCACAAAGACCCGATCACGAGATGTGGATGTGAACTACTACACATTAGCGCCACCGGTTCGTGCTCTGTGGGAGTGGCCCGGGCCGCTCCAGTCGCCATTTCAGCATGTGCACGTGTGGAGGATGGAGGGAGCGCGGGCAACAAACCGGGAGACGGGAGTGAAACGTAAAACGTCATTACGTTGAAATAATCACATAAAGCGATGTTAAAACATGTCACGCTGTTCCATGATCAGGCTAATGCGTGATGCCGCGCGTGTCTTGCTAATCACCGGGGTGATGCGACACTTTCAGGATAACGTTCAATAATCAATAAAAATACAACGAGGCGTACATTCAGATAAACAGTGAACGTCGGACTCACACTCACAGAGCTCATCGCCGGCGGATCGGACACGCGGTGGTATCATCCAAGATTAGCTAGCTTATGTTAGCTAGTAGCGCGTGCTCCTCAAACCGAGCCAGCTACATTTTACGTAGCTGAAAAGGCCGTAACTCTCGACTGCGAATAACGTCCCCGCCGCCTTTTTCAGTGAAATGGCACGAGGGACAAACAGCGGCAAACTCGGCTCAATTCACCCGGACATGCTCGTGTGAGGCCGGCGACTTACCGGGGTGTCCTTCCCCGACCGACTCTGAGGTGAACAAGAAGCAGTCCTCGTCAATGAGGGAGTTGTGGAAACCGTTCATCTGTCCGTTCATCATGGTTCACGGCGGCTTCTGGACGCGGAGTGTGAATAGTGATGTGACGCTGATATGAAGCTGCTTTAGTGAAAGTTAAACACTGGTTAGTGTGTTCTCTTCTCTCACGAGACGTACAACGACCTCGCCGCGTTGATCCTGGTGCCTGAGCCTCATGGCGCAGAGCCCCTGTATTTATAAGACTGCTCTGACGTCACGACAAGGTGGCCCGTACCATCGAGTCCATCCGGGGGGGGGGGGGGGGCATAGACAGGATATAAAAACTATGACCCAGAGAGAAATGTTGGGCGATGTGACAAAGGTGCAACAAGGTCTATTTCATCAGATAACACACAAGGCAGAGTAAAACAAAAATCATATAGATTTTTCTATTTTTTGTTCATGCATTTGGATTTATGTTCTGAGATATGTGCTTCATCAACAGGCTACATTTTAATACATTTTAATGACCATGCTGTGCTCAAAGAAACTATTATTATAGTATTATTAGAAGGAGGGGAGATTATGTTTTTGTTGCCAAAGTTGTGAACATCCTTCTTATTTACTGATGTATAATAGATCCACATGATACTTTCCTCTGCCATCACTGTGTTTAATGACCACAGAACATGTTTGGACCCACAGTTCCACTCTTTGATGAAATACCAGAGGACAGTACCTGAAAATGTCTTCGATCCTAGTGACACTAAATGTGATCTTCAAAAATGAGGTGGACTGAATGTTCGCCCTGCGATACACAGGCGACCTGTTCACGATGTAACCCCCCCCCCCCCCCCCCCCTCCGCTGATTGGCCCCCCCCCCCGACGACCCACAGAGGATAAGCAGTATAGATGATGGAAGAATGGCAATGAGATTATCTGAATCAATATTTTGGGGAAGC